ATATGGGGTGAAGTCAATAGAAATGGGACAAATTTATTAGATAAATTTGTCCCATTTCTATTGACTTCACCCTATATGATTACTATGTATTCATACCAAAAGGATACTATGCTAAAAATGAGCCTTTAGGTTTCTTTGAATCAATCGAAGAAAAAATTGTTAATGTTTACAAAAGAGAGTTAGCTTTAAAGGGTGGATTAAAGGTAAGAATTGTGTTATATGCATATATGAAGAAAATTAAACCGGAAATGCAAAAACCAATATATAAAACTTTTCTATTCAAGCATGAAACTATAGAAATAATTAGAGAAGATCAAATCATTGCAACTATAGAAAAAGGATATAACGAAATTATAGACCAGATTGAGGATGAAGCAATACAAGAATCAGGATGGTCATTTGTTCGAGCAGAAGAGGTATTTCTCGAGATAAACATATTCAGACCATTGCAAGGTAGTAGTTATCTACCTTTATAAGAAGCTTTAGATAAGCCACAACTAGGAATAATTAATCCACAAAATAGGGATGATAATGAGTGTTTTAAATAGTATATAAGTGCATATCATACAAGAGAGGAAGCAAAAAAAGCTAATAGAAAGCCACCACATCTTAATGAAATCCGGAGACTTAGACGAAATGCAAATATAGCAAATTTTGAAGGCATAAAATTTCCAGCAATACTCCATGATATAGATAAATTCGAAAAAAGCAATCCTAATTATGCTATTAATATATTTAAACCATTTTATAGAAAAGCTTTCAGAAAAATAAAAGTAGATATAGATCCATTACATATTTTAGAACGTAATTATCAAGTAGAGCATATGATAGATTTATTATATTTAATAGAAGGTGAAGAGAGTTTAAATGATCGAAAAAATCAAAATAATATACTAGAAGGCTTAAAAACACATTATGTATATATAACAGATTTTGAGCGATTAATGTATAAGTGGAATAACTATTATAAGAAAAAATACTTTTGCTGAAAATGCTTGCGATTTCCATATAGTTGATTAGATTTATTTCAGAAATATATTCTTACATGTCCAGGTTCAAATAAGATTTCACAATGTTTAATTCTTCTAAAAGAAGGTAAGAATTATGTAAAACCCAGTATATCAAAAACATGTTAATGAAACCTTATTTAATAACTATGGATTTAGAAGCCAAAGAAATTGAAGCAGATAAAAAAGATAAAGAAGAAAATACTAAAAAAGAAGTGGAGCAGATAGCAGTTTCATATGGATATACTATTCATTGTTCAGATAGAACAATGCAAAAACTAGTGATTAATCGAGAATCAGAAAATATAATAAAAGACTTAATGGAAAACCTTTAGGAAGATCTAGAAGTTATTTTAGATAAGCTTTGTGAAATAGCTCCATGTGAAAAAATGACACCTGAATTATGGTGAAAATATCAAACTGCAAACAAATGTTGGATATGTGAAGAAAAATTACATGAAGCTGGATATAATAAAATTCATGTATTTGATCCTGAAACCAAAAAATATTTGGGTGCTTCGCATAGAAAATACCACGGGAAAAAATTAATGATTCAAGGTAAGTTAGATGATAAGCAAAAAGAAAAACATAAATTTTGTAAGGTATGTTTGTATTGCAAAACACATTTACCAGATGAGGAAAAAAATAGAGTAATAGATCATGACTATATTACAGGAAAGTTTAGAGGATCAGCTTATAGTGGATGTAATTTAAAATTACGAATCGATCTAGAAACAATAAAAATCCCCATACTAATTTGTAATAGAAGTGGTTATGATTTCTATCATCTTATGCAAGAAATAGCAAAAGTGACAGATGAAAAAATAGTGCCAATAGCAAATAATTCAGAACAATATATTACTTTCTTGGTTGGTCAACTTCAATTTATTGATAGTTTGAAATTTTCATTACCTAGTTTAGCTAAGATGGCAGAAAACTTACGTAATGAAAAGAAGGGCCAAACTAAAACACCAGAACAATTAGCAAAATGTTTTCCAATTATGTCAAAATTCATCTCATCTCATTTATTATTATTGCTTACATGTAAAGAAATATTCCATATCAGTGGTTAACTAGTAAAAACAAATTCAAAGAAATGCAACTACCTCTTTGAAAAGATTTTAATAGTAACTTGGATGGAGTAAATTATTGCGAGCAAGGATGTGAAAGCAAAGAATATAAACATGAGAAAATTTACACAATAACTCAAAAGGACTACGATTTTGCTCATACAGTTTGGAAAGAAACTACTTGTAAAACCTTTGGTGATTATTACAATATTTACCTCAAAACGGATGTTCTTATATTAGCAGATGCATTCGAGGCATTCTGAAAAGCTTCATATGAGGCATTCAAGTTAGATCCGGCAAATTATCTAACAGCTCTAGGCTTGGTGTTGGATACTTGTATGAAGGTAACTAAAGTAAAACTAGAATTATTTAATGAGCATCAAGGGGATATGCATGACTTCTTTACAGCAATAAAAAGAGGTGGAATTTCCTTAGCTAGAAGACATATAGCTCGAGCAAATATTCCAGGATTAAAAAGGTATGATGGAAAAAAAGAAAAAAAATGGTTACTCTATCTAGATGCCAATAACTTATATGGTTGGGCAATGTCACAATATTTACCAACTGGTGGATTTAAATAGCTATTAACAAAACTTTTGGATGCATCTCACCCTTTAGTGTAGAAAATTTTAATGATAAAAGAAAAATCAAATCGAGAATGTTGCTTAGAGGTTAAGTTATCAATTCCAAAAGAATTACATCCCAAATTTTGAGACTATCCAATATGTCCAGAATGAAAGAATGTACCATATGATTGGATTAGTATAGTTCAAACAAAAAGAATGGGCAGGTAAACAACATTCAGATACAGAAAAACTTATACTAACTCTCTATGATAAGGACCATTATGTTATTCATTATAGAAATCTACAACAATATATAAAGGAAGGATATGTTCTTGAAAAAGTATATCGAATTTTAGGTTTCGAACAATTATCATGGTTGGAACTATACATTGCAATAAATACTCAACAACATGCAAAAGCAAAGAATGCCTTTAAAAAAGATTTCTGAAAATTGATAAACAACTCAGTATTTGGAAAAACTATGGAAGATGTTAGAAAATAGGTAAATATTGATTTAGTTAGGCAGGTAGGAGAAGAACGTAGATTATGAAGACTAATTTCAGATTCAGCATTTGTTAGTCAAAAAATTTTCTATAAGACAAACTTAGTAGCTATGCATCGAAGACAGACTAATGTAAAACTAAATAAGCCAGAATATGTGGGGGCATGTATTCTTGATCTTTCTAAATACTTTATGTATAATTTCTGGTATGGTTATCTTAAAAAGAAATATGGGGATCGAGTAAGGCTTTTATATACAGATACAGATTCTTTAATCATAGAAATTGAAACCGAAAATATTTATCAGGACATGATTAATGATTGTGATTTATACGATTTTAGTGACTATCTAGAAGATCATTGGCTAGTAAAAAATCTTCCAGAAGATTAGTAAATAATCAATGAAGAAGATAAGCGTGTCTTAAAAAATACTAAAGTTATAGGTAAGTGGAAGGATAAAAATGGGGAAGATCGAGCTATTGGCTATGTGGGAGTTCATGCAAAATGCTATAGTGTTGTGTGTGAAAATTCAGGAAAAAATATGATAAAAGCAAAAGGTCTGAAAAATCACTTATCAAAAGAGAGTTTACTCATAAAATATTCGAGAACTGTGCTTTAGAGGGAAAAGAGGATCAACCACGAACTGCACAATTCCTCCGAAGTTACAAACATCGAATGTATAGAATAAAGCAAACAAAGAAGAGCATTAACCCACTAGATACAAAATTGTGGATAGATCAAGATGGGATTACAACATACCTATATAGTGATTATGAAATTCTGGAAGAATAAATATATATAGCTTTGCTACATAATGCTACATAACAATTTCTGACTTAACTACTTAATTTCAGAGAAATATATACCACATATAATTAGTAAACTAAAATAAAATTTTCAAATTAAAAGATAAAAGATTACTTAATAAAATCCACACGTTTGATATATATGATATAACATACAAACATATAACCCACTTACACTTCCAGATACTATCGCTAATATCTTCTATTAGAGTCCACCCCCCTTCGGGCCTGCTTTGCAATAAATCTATCTGGAAATAATCGGACCTATTAGATATTTTTTTAGTAAAGTTATATATGCTAACCAACTCACTAACCACACTTATTGCAGAGTTATGACCCTTCAGGTCTACCCTTAAGTATAATTTTTTATCCATGATTGCTAGCAAAGATCAAGCAATCTCCAATACTAAATAATTCGTAAATGAATCTAATTACCAAATCTGAAATTAGTTTTCATAATATCTAAATTTGATTTGTTAATAATGAGGAGTATATTATATAATGGAATAAGTTAATAATAAATTGCAAATACTTATTTGACTAAAATTTGGGTAATTGTAATGATTTGGATATTATATCTATTTGCTCTTATCTAGCAAATAATCCCGGACAATGTAAAAATAGTATATAGTCAGGTAAGAGTAAAATGATAAGAAAATTTTTTTTTCATAAACCAGCTCAGCATATTTTATACTATGAGTCTTGAACTACTTAGCGAAAAAGAACTTGCTAAAAAATACCCCAAATGATTAGAGTTATTAAAATCCTTAGAAATAAATATCCTAAAAAGTTATCCAAATTTTCTTGCAAACAATATTACAATACCAGAGCTAGAGAATTATCATAAATGTAACGAAGAAATTTTTTTAAATCCGCCCAAAGCATTTACTATGTTAGTGTATGGTCATACTCTCCATTACGACTGTCTTAAAAAAAGTAACAGAAATAAGCAAAAAACTTGTCTCATTTGTTTCGTAGATAATGAAGGACTAGCGTTAGCTAAAGTTCAGGATGTAGATATGACAGAGGCAGTGGAAGGTAAAAGTGAAGAAACCTCTAATCTAACAAGAGAGGTAAGTAAATTATCTGTAGATGATGGTAGAGCTATCACCCAAAATAAAACGAAATCTATAGAATCTGAAAAAGTGCAAGGTTTAATAAAAGAACTGTCTATGCCTCATGAACCAATTGATGATAATAATAGAAAAAATAAAACCAGAGAATCGAAACCAAAAACTTTACTCTAGTTATATTATAATGTAAGCCAGGCAGAAAATGTGTAACCTAAGCCTACCAAGAAAAAATTAGGTGTTGGTACCTGTTTGCTAAAAAATTTGAAAAAAGGATTAAAGAAATTAAAAATGATAATAGTAGATTTAATGATCAACAAACTAGAGGGTTAGTTTATGGCGAAATTGCAACGAATATTCCAGGATTCACAAAAGAAAGCCTACGTAAAAAAATAGCAAAAACTAAAAATATTTATAAGTTGTTTGGTGAAAGTTATGACCCTGAAACCAAAACAGTAGTTAAGGGACTAGGGATTGAAAAATAGAACAAATTCAATTATATAGTGCGGATTATATTTCAAAACTTAATGCTATACAAATTTATAGTATTATAAAGCATTTTAGCTAGCACAGATCGTGTCCCCTAAGTTGACACCAATATGATATAAATATTTTTTATTAGTAAATCATATATAAGTATAATTATATAATTAAATTTATATGTATTAAAGTTTATACATATCAATAAATGCTTGTTAAATATAGGCATTCAATCGGATATTGACCTAAGATTTATGCGTAAGACAGGGCACAAACACATTGCAGGTTTGAATGATAAAAAATTTTTTAGCCATGTATAATTATTTTTCTATTAATAAAACAATGATAAAAAATCATAACAATACATATACAAATAAAAAAAGCTGAAATTATATCGAAAAGTGGCATATCTTTAGAGAATGGAAACACAGATGTAAGGTCTGTGACGAATGCAATCATCATTCACACCTATATTGTAAGGCATACAAAAAAGTAGCCGATGGAATATAAGACGATGTGAATGTAAAAATTTTCTAAAGAAAACCTCAAATAATTAATAAATAAATTAGAATTAGCGATTTGGTACCATATAATGAGAATTTGTCCAAGATATTAGAATAAATTCTGCTCTACAGCAAACTTATTATCGAATAAAAATTCATCGCATAATCGAAATTTCCACATGTTGGGTTATGGCCTCAACTTTGCGATTTATTAAACTTTCAACTAAAATATGATTTATATATCAAGGGTATTGTATTGTTATAAAGGAACAATAATATCACATGTATTATCAAAAATTCGGATTCAGAAATTATGTATGTGTGACCTGTTGTACAACAATCTGATTGTTTGTATGTATGACTATTTCTTGCTAAATAAATTTTTCGCTTTCTCTGCTCAAGTTGTACAACTTTTATAACACAAAAAAAATAAGCAACTATATCCGATCATACCTCTCTTCCATCAGCCGAAGAAGTTAATGAATGGAACCCGCATCAAGTTATTGAATTTTTGGAGTCCTATAATAAAGAAAAAAAGTTATTTCTTGAAGATGGAGACATTAAAGCAATTAAAGATAACCGTGTCTACGGTCTAGCCTTTCTTAAGCTGAATGTGGATAAGCTTATAGCTCACCCTTACAATCTTCCTGGTGGACCAGCCAAAACAATTGCAGAGTTAGTTAATAAAATCAAGGGCGAGGAACAGGGTAAGTAGTACCACGACTGTATTCGAAGACACAAAGTGTCGAGTCTCTGACTCATATTCCAAACCTATACTGCTTTCTCCACAATAATTTTATTTATTAACTTGGGCCTTATACTTATTATACAGATACGGATACAAAAGATCAGAAAATAAAAAAATTGGAAGAAAAACTAATAACACTTCAGTGAGAGAAGATTGCAACCTCGTAAGAGAATCTATTCATAGTATGCAAACTATTATGTAGAGTGCCTCTAATACAACTAATAACGTTTGCAATACAGATCTTCATCAGCTACTAAGCAACATTTTTTCGAAGTGGATAATTATGAAAAAGGTTGGTTGTATAATGTATGTCTGTATCTGTAGAATTTTGTAAACTCAACTACTTTTCTAATCTGTCCAGAACAAGAAAGAAACATAAAAAAGATTTAGAGTTACCTTCCTCCATCATCCTTTGCACTTCTTGGTAATCTTATTAAATATTATGTTAAGGATAAGCAGTTACTTATTCATCATCCTCCAGAATGTGTTGGCCTACCGGTACAAGTTTACCATGATGTTTTTAATCAGTTCCTGCGTGATTATCATAACGAAGATCTAGAAATGGGAAAAGAACATTATCAATAGGCTCTTAAGTTCATTCATGAAATAGCAGACATATATCTTAGTGAACATGAGCATTCTAAAAAATTTAGAGAAAAATTTCGACAATTATTTGATGAAGAATTAAAAATAATTCGCCTAGATGATGAATCTTTAAATGATGGTGTATTGGAATGTAATTTCCATTCATTTAGTGTATTATGCCTACTTGCTGAGATAAAGAATGAAATTGGCATCAGTAAATGTGATCTGACTACCCAGGCTGGGACTTCTTATGCGAAATATTATACTCATGAAAAAAATGAGGAATTGCTCAAATGGTACAACTGGCCGTCTTTTATCTTATGCTTAGCTGAACCTTGGGTGTGTGTTTTAGAAGCGGTGTATGTTGAGAAACCCATTGTAGATCTCTTAATGGACCTCATACCTCTCATTCCTACAAACATTCGAGATCATGCAGAGCGAGTGGCACAACTATTCAAAGCTTTGTGTTTGGAGTTAATAGGCTAAAGGAGTATTATGGATCGATAGCAAATCTACAAAATTCACAACAGTTTTTTCCTTATTCGAATCAATACAAACAACAAGATACAACTATAGAATTTACATATGAAAAAAAGCTTGTAGATCAGCCAGACAAGCTTCTTTGAAAAGCTATAACAAAGGGCAGGAGGGAAATTGTTGTTAAATTCACGTGGCGTTATAATCAGAGAGCACACGAGTTGTGTAGTGAAATTGGAAAAGCACCAAAATTACTCTATATTAGCAAAAAGGTGGTGTATGGTTTTTATATAGTCGTGATGGATTATGTTAAGGCCAAGCCACTTTACAACTGCAATAATTCGCTTAGTCATGATGAATATAAAATAGTTTTTGAGGATATTGAAGAAGCTATTAGCAAATTGCATAAGGAAAATATCATTTTTGCTGACCTTCATGATTCTAACATCTTGGTTAACAAATCTCAAGATTAATATCAAGGAATGTTAATAGATTTCGATTGGGCTGGTGAGAAAAGAATTGAGTGCTATCTATCTTTCATGAATGAAGATATTAATTGGCCACCAGGAGCTAAGGATAGGAAGAAACTGAGTCAGGAACATGATATGTATTGGTTGAAGTTATTAAAATCTAATTACTTAGGTGAAAGTGTAGAGCTTAAATGATTAGTTAGTATGGTATTTGAGGATAAAGTAGAAAACAAACAACTATGCTAACAAGCTGTGCATATATTCAATATAATTTGTTTTTAATGATATAATAATAAACGAATTCTTGGATTAATCATATTCATATGTTTTGGGAATAATATGTGCTTATCTCTCTTGCCTTGGCCTACAGGGGATTAAAATATCCATTACCTGTTCCGTTGATTATCATGAATTTCTGCTGAAAATTTCAGTGTTTTCGATTTATTACTGAGGTCAATAAAATTTACATTAAGTTTTTAGCAACGTGGTACATAGTACCTGCGATAGAATTTGTTAATTTTTACTTTTATTCTGTATCAATAAAGCCGACTGGTGGCTCGGGTTTACATATATAATCGTGTTTACTTTTGCATATATATTTCGTGAATTTATCTTATTGTATTGTTATCGATGTATATTAACTTGCATATGATTGAGAATTTTTTGATAGAGCGTGAAATTTTTTCACGCAGTCATGTGATTTTATTTATTTATTTTTGTTTACATAGCATGTATCTCAAAATTTCATCACATGAATATATATCTCCATAATAAAAGAATTGAATATATCCGTATTTTATATAAAAACATGGCAAATACACAATCTAAAGATGATTCATTGAGAGAATTGAATTACAGACTTGTAGCCGAGATTACTGAAATTAAAAAGAAATATGCTAAGGTTGAAGCTAAAAATGCTTTGCTTAGAAATAAAAATGCTAATTTCTTAATTAAGGAAATAGGGCTTTTGGCTAAAATCATGGAATTGGAACAATCTGCAAAAGAGAATGAAAATAACATGAAGTTAAGAGATGCTGAAATCAATGAGTTTAGATCCAGAATTTTGAAATTAGAACAGATGAAGTTGCAAAACAATACTGTAGATAGATTAGATGTTAGAGTTAATTCTTCTGAGAATATTGTTAATAGACCTAATCTTGTTATAAACCAGTGCATTGATACTAACTCCAAATTATTAACAAATGATACTAAAGAAATCAATCATTCCTCAGTTAATATTACTCCTTGTGAGAAACAGAGCACTATTTATACAGACATAACAAACTCTGGTGATACTTCTAAACAGATAGAAAATAGTTTCAACAATATATCCAATTTTGATATATGACAGGAAAAGGATAGCCAATCTTCTGCATATCCTATTCTCCTTGAAACAAATTCTAGCGATACTTATAAGCAGACAGTTTTGCAAAATAAGGAGGCTCTAGCATCCGATATATCTGACAACACTTCAAATTCTGATGTGCATCAGGAAGAGATGAAGTCTTGAATCTCTGCATTACCTATCAGCACAGAGACCAAATTGTTAAAAGATAAAGATATAAATGATTTCTTGGAAATGCAGAGAAAAGAAAATATTAGTAACACAATAAGAGAAAGAAAATAGGAAAAGAAACTTCAAGACTCTAATTTATCAGAACAGTCCTCTTTGGAGCAAAGTACCGATTTACAAAAAATGCAAACTCCCAAAATAGACATATATCCTTTAATACAAGAATTAAAAATAGAACCTTTGGAAGAAGTTAACATTAAGACTGTTAATATAGATAAAAATTCTACTGGTAATCAATCATCCGCAATCAAATTGGTATATCTATTCGAAAGAATATGTTTTGCAGAATTCAATACTATATGAGCTAAGCAAGAGGAAATTGCTAGTTGGTATTCATATAGGAAGTTCTTTGAAAAAAGACATAGTGAAATTTTATCTGAGATCCTGAAAAAATATAAAAATATTACAAAACAAAAAGTATATAAGTTAGCAAGTAGTCAAATTTATAATGAAATATTATGTTATCTTTCAGGTATCTCCAAGTAAATTTGCGTAAAAAAACACAACTAACTAAACCTATATATAAGTTGTTTAATAAAATTGAAGAAGATAAGATTTTGCGAATTAAGACTCATAGTGCAAATAAACTTTTAAAATTAACTAACACACAAATTGATACAATTATATATGAAGTAAGTCGTATCACAAAAAAATGTGGTACTAACCTCCTACTGTGTGAAAAAATTTCATACTCTCACATGACCAACTCTGAACCTTTCCAAAAAAATAATCAAGATTCAGAAATATCAGAAATCCAGGTAAGTATACCTACTAAATCATTCTATGTCTCTAATTCAGAAAATATAATAAGTAAGGATAACAAATCTTTACTGAAGACTAAGGTAAATACATCATCTAATCCAGTTCATGACTGTACTTATTTCCATAATAAAACATTAAAGCAATATCCCGATTTATATTCAGAAGGTAATAGTGAAAATTTTAATTATTATAGAATTAATAATGAGACATTATGTCCAGTATGCAAACAAAATCATGACGATAAGAATGGTATAAAAGGCAAACATGAAGCTAATTCCTATTATATTAATTGTGAATAGCGTGGAATTGAAATCGAGGTATTGGCATAAACTTCATCTTATACTATTACAATTTGCTTAAGTCTTTAAGGCGTCTCTCTGAGGCATATTTATTTTTTGCTGGATATTGTTAATTTAAAGAGACGAACAATCATATAAAATGGCAACATGAATACACAGACAAAGTCTAATAAAACATTAACTCCCCAATATTTGGAATGGCATAATAAATTTATTGTGTTACTAAGTGTTTTAACAGATAAAATTCGTTCCAAGTTATATAAAAGATACAAGAAAGAAACTGGACTTGATCCCTGGATAAACTCTGAAACTTCTGAATCTTTACAAATTGAAGAGGGTAATTATATCTCACAAGATTGTATTATCAAGATTTTCAAGTTTCCGGAAGAGAAAGTACAATCCATGAAGCAGTACATAAACGTTTCCCTTTCTTGTCATATACTAAATCGAATGCATGGTACTGAGATATTTTTAAATATACAGATCCAGAAGCTAAATGTCCAATATGCAAAAAAGTACATACTTGTTTAGGTATATGGGGCGACTAGAGCTGTCTAGGTAAAAATGATCACTATTTTCTTAATTGCCCTTTTTGTATTGATCAAAAGAAGTTATTAATTGCTTTGCAAACTTAGATAAACATTATTAGTAGATCATGGTTTAACATTAATAAAAATCTAAATAATAGTATAAATAGTGACCAATACGATCATATAAAAATAAAAAATGACGAGCCCAGCGGACCTCCTCTTTATTTCATAAAAAATTGTTGCTGAACAGCAATATAACATACAAATAAAAAATAAATAATAAATTTTTTTCTGATTATTCATTAAGGATTATAATCATCCTGATCACTACAATTGGCATTACCAGTTAAATACTACATATAACTATCAAGAGAATGGTCAACCTTATCTCTATATCTATAGTAATGTGAAATCGGTTTATTATAAATATCATCTAGTTTGAATAGAAAAAGAAACTAAGTCCCAGGTGGTTATATTTTTGAGTAAATTATTTTTATAGAATATTTATGCAATGTAAACTTTACTTACAAGTATAAAGATTCTTTCGAGTATTATTATCATTGTTCTTGGGGGCGTTATTATCATTGGTCTTAGAGGCATTACTATCATTGGTCTTGGAGGCATTACTATCATTGGTCTTGGAGGCGTTACTATCATTGGTCTTAGGAGTGTCACTTTGGTTGTCTTGGAGGTATTATTATCATTGGTCTTGAAGGTGTTATTACTGTTGGTCTTGAAAGCATTACTATTATTAGTCTTGGGGGCATTACTATTGTTGGTCTTGGGGGTGGTTTTTTTATTACTATTCATTTTCATACTTAATACAAAAAATATAGTAAGTAAAATTTCATTTTCATAAATTCTATTAAATGAAATAGCAAATTATTTTAAAAATAAATTACGAGTAGGTGAATCAAATAAAAATAAATATGAGCAAAAAAAATGGTATTGCTAACTTATCTTATAGTAAAAACTTGTTTATTTTTATACCCTTCATTCGCTAGATCCAAAAAACTTGCCAGAAAAAAAAGTTATATGATTAGTAATTGGGTTAAGGTAATGCAATCTAGATCACACTATGAAAAGCAAGTCTATTCGGTTATAAGCTCCAAATACTGAATCTACTTTGTTGTTTTATCTGCAATAAAAAGTTTATTGTTTGGATGTCGCTAGAATACCTCCAAGGTGCCATGAAGCTCTAGAGGATTTTTTTGAGCCTCTACTTGCAAATTATACATGTGGTTGATTTTGGTCTATATATGGTGACAATGGTGACAAAATTTTTTTCTAAGATTAGAAACCTTATCGAAACCTATCCACTGTCTAAATTTATTCTACAATTCTGAGGATGTTGAATCTGAAGTGTATGTTGCATGAAAAATTTCTGATTCCAATAACATTAAATATTGAGCTGGCATCAAAAAGACATTATTATCAATAGGAAGTTGTTTGCTGACAATTCGCCTTTGATATCTTTCTTCTAAAAGCTTTTCGATAAATGTGAACTCCGGACTAACTACTATGAAAGGCTGAGATATATTGGATGATTTAAGATCTTTAGCATCGAAGTCCTTGGAAACCCACTGTGTTCGAATATAATTACGGGTTTCTTCTTCTGTAGATTTGTGAGTCTCTATTTGTGTTTTGTGCTTTAAGAAAAAATATAATTAATATGTGACATGGCCTTGACAATAAGAAAAAAATATTGTAATTTGGTATATACCTTTGATAGATCATAAAATATATTTGTTCTTTCTTCGATCTGGTTAATACTAGAATTAAACGTGGAATTATCCTCTCCAATAGTTGGATTTTTGGACTTTTCAATTTTAGCTTTTTTTATAGCATGTAGATTTTTTTTACGTTTCTCTTGGAGGACTTTGATAAAATAATTGAAGTATTTTGCGATGACATAGTGATGACACAGGTAAGTAATTGTTATTTTTATGAAAAAATATTAAGGTGTTTTGAAAAACAAATAAAATCAAAACAGAACTTCGTTTTAAAAATGGTCTTTTTATTAGATATTACAATTTATTTCATGTTCTATAATTTCAGTACACAAAGCAGTATATTCAATAAAAATGACTCGGCATTATGAAAATTCAACACGAGTCAACTAACAATTATTATTCTGCACCATAATAATTTAACACAATAATTTTTATGCTAACAATTGCATATTTACTATATCCGGCACCACAATTATTAAACACACCAACAATCACATATTTTCTATATTTGGGATTAGATCGTTAATAACTAGTTAAACAGGTATAGTTATACGGGGTACGATGAGAATTTTACATGCTATTTAAGTCCATTTTACAGATTTAGAATAACCGTTATTTATTAATTCCTAGCTATTACCGGTATAACAAACATGTTGATCAAACATCTAGCTGGAAAAAATACAGCACGTACAGTACGTATGTATTATATTACATTGTATAATGCAAGTTAACGGACCCGTGGGACTGCTTTTATTTTGGTCTAGGTCGAAGCTAAAATAGCGATCAATATTCAGGGTTATCAGTTCGAATGAGCAATAAAACCTTGACCAGCTTTAATAATCAATGACCTGAATTAAATTTTATGCAGTATTACCTTAATGCATAATTCTTCCCCAACGTCGATTTTTTAACCGTTAACCAATTTTACGAATAATAGACCATGCTTTTCTTATTATATAAGATCCCACGATAAGAATGGGTCTTAAAAAGGCTATAAGGGCAATGAGTATAACGTTCTTTATCACTAGTTTAATCAAAATTCATATGTTGCAGAAAGTTAGAATCTCCGCCATCTCCGAGATCGTTAGATCTAAACCCACCTTAAGCGATCGTCGAATCTAAGGGGGGTTAATTTTACCAGAAAAAATAACAAAATAGATTTAGCATTTGGAACTTATGACCGAATAGACTTGCTTTACATGGTGTGATCTAGATTGCGTTACCTTAATCTAATTACTAATCATATAACTTTTTTTTTCTGGCAAGTTTTTAGATCTTGCGAATGGACGGTATAAAAATAAGCAAGTTTCTACCTAAAGATAAGTTAGCAATAACGTTATTTTTTGCTCGTATATATTTTTTATCAAAAGGCTTACATACCGCAATTTATTTCTAAGGCATGTATTATATTCAATTTTTTTTTTACGTACCAGAAATACAATTATAGGTTTATATATTAATAATTTTCCTTAACAGCTACAATGTCTGAAAACATTTTTTCATATATGAGTAAACAAACAAAAATTTTTGATACTAGTAACGAGAATATCAAGGTAACAGTCGAAGGAATAAATGGTGATATTGCGAGGATTTTTCTTGTAGATAAAATGATAAGCCGTATGAGTCGACGGATGTAGTTTTTATGAATGCGACGACTGGAGAAGAATTACACCCCATAAGTTTCAAGGATAAAAAAAGCTATTTTATAACTTGGATGTATAACTATAAGTTATCCATAGATGATAAGCAAATTTTTATGCTAAAACAACGAAAAGAGCAAATCAGAGCAATTGGTTTAGCACAATATTTTAAATAATTTTTTATTTGTATTTTTTTATTATAAATAAAATATTTGTTTCTGTTTGTTGTCGTTCTGGCAACAATTTTTATAAAATAAAGAAGGGGTCTGGTGACCTCACCATTTTTTATTTTAACGCGATCGTGTAAATAAGTATTGGTTATTTTTTATATCGTTATTTCGATTCTACCCAAAAAATTTCGATCATACACGAGTAATGTAAATACAATAAAATAAAATTCACGAAATTTACACGCAAAAGTAAACTGATTACTTATGTGAAATTGAGCCACCAGGGCCAGTTTTATTGTTTTATTGATGCAGAAACATGTATGTATTTTACAGAATAGTAATATAAAACACATTAACTAGCTTAGTTTAAGGTTATTTCAGAATTAACCCTCCTGAAATAGATTGACCAACAATCTTGAAAATTTTTTTGACCATTGGGAATTATAATACAGTAATAAGGTTTACCTTACGATTTAAAAGTCAATATAACTATATTTTTTACTTCTTTTTTCGTTTTTTCATAGTCTTTCCTTTCTTTGACGTGTCACTACTTTCATCCTCTACAATCGCATCAGTCTTTTTTGTTTTCCATTTTTTCACGACTTCACTCTTTGACGCATCCTCACTTTCATTGTCTATCACATTACTTGATAGCTTCAAATCATGCTGTCCTGAAATCACATTGCTCCCTGACGTTTCCCCAATTTCGTCGTCTCTCAACATTGCATCACTCTTTTCTAGTTTTCTTTTCTTCACGTCTTCATTCGTTTCCTCATTTTTATAGTCTCTGACAACGCATTACTAGATCGTTTTTTTGCGCTTTTATTACTAATATCCAAGTTGATCTCTAGTGCATATTGGGTTATTTTTTTGTTAATCCATGTCGGAATTGTTTTAGAATCTTCGTCTTTAATTGTCTTGTATTTTTGCAGGGGAAATATTTCAAAAATGTTCGATGGCACGACAAAGAATAAATTAGTATTATCCGCATCATTTATCCATGTAAGTAGATCTTCTAGTCCTTTTATCTGTACAATCTGAGTTAGTGATAAAAGTGATGATTACAAACTATAAATTATAACTATTGTCCCTACCTTAATGTCATGGTTATTTGAGATAGTAATTTGGTACAAGTTCAAGGTTTTGTCATCGAGGCTAAAAGAATCAATCGATTTAAATGTCTTTGAATTTGGTCTGTTATAACATTCCTTACTTGCGTTATTCGGTGTAGAGAAAGATTTATACTCCAGATTCTTGATATTTATTTCGGTTACCCCTGAGTTATCGTTCAGACATCGCACCCTAAACATACCACCTCTTTGCAATTCCAGATGGGCATAATCTTCGAAGAGATTACCTCTAAATACAGCAGTTATTGGATCATTACTGCTTGTGATGAGATTGTGAACATCAGTCCTTTTTGCAATCAGATATTTCTCAATCATTAAGTCAGCTACCTTCGGAGAAGCAAAACGATACACAACTTTCGTAAAGTTTGATGTTACATCAAGATGTATGAGTCTACCACTAACTGTATCTGTAGGCATGCCTGATGAATAGGGTTCGAGGCACAGGGGCATGGGCATGCCTTTTGGGCATGCCACTTGGCCGTTAGGCATGCCCTAGTCATGTGATATATGTGTCGTATCTGATTGGCCAGCATGTCATAGTGAGGTCATCAGAGTTGTAAATTTTTTAACATTTTAATTAGTATAATGACAACAAAATTTCAATTTAAGAAGTTCTGTAAAAATCTTTTATAGTAATCATGATAGAA